TAAAGGTTTTTCAAAATATTAATGTCAATGCTTAACATGTTTGATAAAAGCATAAGATATAAACCATGAAAAACTAATGTTGACATGGAATTAAAAAGGGGAATAAATACTAATATTCATTTAGCAAATACCTATTAAGAGTCTTCAAGAAAAGAAGCAGGAGGCACAATTAGGAAGACTGTATTCAGGTAAAATATATTAGCTTGAATCAGAATGGTAACAGCGGGTATAAGATAAAATTGACATTTTAAAGTTAAATTGAGGATAAAGAACTAAGGAGATTTTCAAGTACCCTTTAATACTATCACTCAGTAAGATGTTATTCAATGAACACTTTTTACAGTAAAGACACAGAAGTGTTAATTCTAATCAATAAGTGGACAATCTTTGTTTCAGAAACTTCTAAAACATTATCAGTGGCTACCTCCATTCATCACGGATTCTATCTGTTCAACAATTCCCATTGCCACAACTTACTTACAAATTATCTCTTCTACTAACTTTTTACCCATTTGTCAATCTCCCATGCTGTTCATCAGACTCAGCACTTAAAATTGTGCAAAAAATATTGAATGAATGACTAAAGGAATGAAAGAAAGACTATATCTTCACAAACTCAAATATTTATTCAGGTCTTAGAAATTGTTGAATAGTTCTTATGGTTCAAACAATCCCCCCCTTTTTATCAAAGTTTATAGCTTACTATAAGTAAATTCATTTAATAGCTCAAAAAGCAGATGCATTTATTATTTCCTCTTCTAAATTTTCATTTAAACAGAGATACTAATGTTTTATGTTCTCATGTAAATAAATATTATTGGGAATTCCAGGCACTATATCTGACTGATAAGAAAGAGTTTCTTAAATCTCTTCTCATCTCATCCTTTGTCTATAATTAGGATAGGTCCCAATGTGCTCAAAGAATCTTCAGAGAAGTACTTCTGACAGTTTGTTATATGCATTTTCAGATAATAAAGGGCATAGTGAATGGTTTGGGGGGAAATCCTATTGTCAATGATGACAAGAAGTTGGGGGCAAATGCGTTTGGAAGAATATTTTTTTATTTGAAGAAGATACTGATACTATTCCATAAAAACATTAAACTGAAAAGAGCCTTTTTGAATAATTCATCTTCAGAGACTATAACTTGCCAAACATCATATTGCTTTTGAAAATGATATTTTGGTTCATTGTTGAATTTTACTTTTACATGTAAAATTTTAACATATATAATAAATTGATGAGAAGGCTATATTCCTTAAGGTTTACAAGAAGAAACTGCACTTAGGTTTAGACTTCACTATGTGTTGCAGAAAACAAAATAGCCCAAATATCACTTCTGAAAATAGGTACCTTGACTTCTATATTATGAGAAATCTGGTGATGGTATAAACATGATTTTAAAATCATCAATTCTAGTTCTATATTTAGGACTGCACTAGATTAATTAAAGACATTTGGCATTATAGATACCCTTATTTCAAGAGCTATAGTCAATATTGGACCATCTGATCACTCTAAAACATGACCAGAAGCAAACTTTTTACCACTTGTGATTTCCACCTGTGCTAATGACAATAAAATAATATTCTGAAATCCAATAATCCTTTCAATGGTTTTTAGATTTTAATTTTGATTCATATTTTAATGTGGAGATCCACAAACTTTTAAAACTGACTCAGGAGAAAATGAGTGTCTTTTCGGGGTTCTGATTCTTTTTTCATATAAAAAGATAAAAAGAATCAAACATTATTATTGTCTGCTGAAAAAAATGCCCAAGAAAAAGGAGAAATGTATACAAAAATTTCATAACCATAATTTTTCATAGGTAATTCATAATTCAAATCTTTGTACTGGATTGTTGGTAAATCTACCTCACAATAAGATGGACCACAGCATGAGTAAAACAGCATTTTTCTATAAAAGATCATCCTAAAGGCATATCAGTGAAGTCATTCACCATTAGAAAAACATAAAGCTTTTTCTAAGAAAAATCTGCCCTGCACACAAGCCGCCAGATTTTGACAGCCCTCATCATAGCTATATGAACCATGATTAGCAGTTTGAAAAAAAATGTGACCCATCTATTGATTGGCCTGTGATCTTCAACCCAGCACTTCTAGTTTGATACTAACAAGATACACAGGGTCAGTTAGTTTCTTTCTCATTTATTTGACTGGAAAATGCTGAGAGAAGAAGCTATCATCTGTGGGAACAGATGCTAAAAATTATGATGCTACAAGAATCACTGGAGCCCTGGCTAAACCAAGGCATGAATGTTTATGAAGGCACAGGAATGAGAGCAATGGAGCCACTCAGCATTTTGGACAAACATGCTTGGATGTCTACTGAATAACCATTTCTTCCTTTTTTTCTTTCTTCCTTCCCTCCTTCCTTCTTTTCTTCCTTTCTTCTTTTTGTTTGATTTTTTTGACTAATAAAACTATGATTTCATTTGTGTAGTAACTAGTCATAAAAATTAAATGATAACTGTCCTAAGTCCAGTGGTTTGTTAGAACTTATTTATATCAGCTCATAAGAACTTATTCTATGCATTTCTTACCAATTCAGAGTGAAATTGCATTGGTTACCTGAATTCTGCCACAGAAATCAGTAAGTGCTACCTATTTGGACTATATTCCTCTGTCCACCACCCTTTGCCCAATCTGCTATTAATAATTTATCCACACTCTCTAAATTTGCCTTGGGAATTTCATTTCCTTTTGCCAGTGATTAGAACGGGCAAGAGACCAAGATCTGTCCTATATCAGGTAAGAGAAACTGATGGACTACATCTGGAATAGATTTTCTCCTTGATAAATTAAAGTGGAATTATATCTTCTCCTTCAATTTTAGATGTTATCATATAATGTTTTGAGATTGAATGTCTTAAGATGCAACTGTGAGGAAAGGTCAACACAATTCAGAGAAGCCTTCATAGATCATTAATAATGATGAACCACTACCCAAAGTGCAGAAAAGTGGGAGCAATCTACCCTAGATATAGAAAACAATGGGGTGCACTATATATAGAGAATTTAGAACTAATAATGAAATAAATACATTAACAACCCATTTATTATTATCATCATCCTATACTGGCAATTCTAAATAATGCTAACAATTAGTACCCCTTTCCCTGCTCAAATAGTGGACTATTCCTATCTAAGTCCTCTAGCATACGAAGGGTAGTAGCCTAAAACCAATTACGTCAAATATCCAGTTATATGAAATAAATGGAAGTTTTTGTAATTTAAGGAACCTTTATAAGAGTTTTCTGTTGCTTGTAGATGAAATATTCTGAATTGCTGAAGTTGACCACAGAAAGGAACAGACCCAGTAAACTGCTGGGTTAGGTTAATCCAGCATTAAATGCAAAATCTATGAGCTCCTGCTTTGAGGACTCATGAGGTATTTAGATTCCAGGCCTCCTACAGCTGTAATTATGCAAGCTCTGGCAAATTACAGTTCTTCTTACCATCCAGAGTTTTCCTCCCTTTGCACTATGACTACATTACCATAGAAAATTGCCTGTACATTGATTATTATGAATAGGTTGCTTGGCTTATAACCAAAAAGCACCAACTACAAACCAGAATATAGCATTTAACAATTAAATTATTAAAGACTAAATCAATATAAGATATTGTAAAGCCTATACAAAAGAGATAGTAAAGAGACAAAAGTATTCCTAACATAAAATTATTTACAATAATTAAAGTGACAATTTTATCTAAATGATAAATCAATGAGTTTTAGAATAACATACAAAAATGTTCAGTCAAACATTATGTGGAAAAAGGAAAGTAGTTTATATAAATGTGCATATATGACATGATAGAAACATTTGAAAATAAAAATATATATGTAGAAAAATGCTGGATGAAAATAAAATCAGATATCATTTGTTGTTATTTTAAAGAGTATTAATATTGTCTCCCCTACATTTTCTGTATTTTTAAAAGTTTTAATTTAATTAAAAATACTTAGCATACATTTCTGTTTCATTAATATATCATAAAGTAAACTAGATTTCTAGAACTATTGTTCAAGATAAGACAGTGTATATAAAAAAAGTATATGTATAAAAGTCATGAGTTGAACAAATTAGACTGATACACACTGGAAAATTTTCTAAAATCATAATAGATACTCATGAGAATTTGTATTTCATAAAAGGAGAATATTATCACATTTCAAAAATTATCCTCTCACACATTAAATAAATTAATTATATAACTATATCTATATTTATATGCATCTGTCTATACAAACATATACATAAATACATATATATGTAGTTTATTTTAAAGAGAAGAAGATAACAAAAGACTAAAAATCTTTAATTCTTTCCTGTTACACAACCAAAATCTGAGTTTTGCTCCTGAGGCTTTGGCTTTCTGAGAGTGTTTTCACCAACCTGTGGCATCGCATTTTACTCTACCAAGGGACACCCATAGGGGCTTCTTATGGAGTCTCAAGCCCATCTGTCACTGATTTCATCTGATATCAAGACTCTTTTCTTCTATTCTTGACATTAGCAATATCAAATACGTATACTGGTACTTGAACAGCCACATTACATCTCAAATCAATAAAAGCTTTTCCTGTTAACTTGTATCTTTTCCTGAGTAGAAATAAAAATGATTGGAAAAGAGTGTAGATAGAGAACATCAAAATGTTTTACATGTATTGGGATGGAGGTGATGCTGATTTAGTAAAGACAGGAAAGATCTAAGCTATTTTCTATTACACTTTGCCCATGAATGGGAGTTTCTTTTAAAAACACAGTGTAAATTGTTAAGTCATGAAGCACAAAGCTTGTAATCCCCAATTAGACCACTAATGACACACTTGGTGCTTCTACATAACTACACTACATTTCCAGAAAGCTCATTAATAAGACTCCTTATATTGCATAAAATTAATTATATTCAGCATTCTACGACTTCAAAACATTGACAAGAGTTAATGCATACATTAAAAGATCAAAAACATACCAGATACAGCAAGGAAGTCATCAATGCTTGTAATGTCATCTACAGCTTCAGTGAGGACATGTATATAGTTCTCCCATGTGTGTTTGTACATTTCCATGGTGTTTTTTACCACTTGACTTTTGGGTCTTGCAGCCAAAGCAAGCGCAGCATTAATAACCTGAATAGATAATACAGAATGCTTACAAAGTGATTTATTTAGAAACAGTTAGTAATGTGCAGATATCAGTTATTCTTTTTTCATAATTTTACATATATTATTTATCCTTATCAACAGGGTATAATAAAATTACTTTAATGTGTAATCTCCTCTTTGTTTTTGATAATAGATTTATTTATAATTTAAGTAATTTTAAAAGTATTTGTTGAGTGTCCTTATCAAATAACTGCAGGAGATTAAAAGAAAATTGGTGTCTACCTTTAATAAGCTTTTATATTACTCAATGGGAAGGCAACACATAACTAGAACTTAAGTTTTTGTATGATAAATGCCATAAGAACAAACAATGGTCAATAGCCTTTAAAAAAGGAGAGATCATCTTCAACAGGGTGCTAAGAAAAGGCTTTGAGGAAATGTAACATTCTAATGGTGCATTTGGATTCACATCAGACAATTCCTGAATAACCTACATAAAAATAACTAAAGGAGAACTTTTACTTACTAATGGGCTTGTAGGTATTCAGCCAGTAGGTATTTCCTCATATTTTCATCCACTTTATATTTCAAATACATACCAAGTATCTTTCATACATCAAGCACTGTTTTACATTTTAGAATTCAGGCAATAAAGGAGACACAAGCAAAACTCACCACTTTCATGGAATTAAAAGAAGGTCGCCTTAATTCCAGTCAAAGAAGGCCAACGATTTGCAAGTCAAAAAAGTATGATCTTTGAGATAGTTATGAAAACTAATAAGAAAAATAATAGGATAGAAAAGAAGGATGAAAGTGGAATGGTAGAAAGTTTCCAATTTTAGGAAGGCCTTGCATTGAAACAAACACGAGAATAAAATTATTGGCATAAAAGAATTTTGGAACAGAGAAGTTGCCAGATTCAAAGAGGGACAAAAATGGAAAATTCTGTGAGAATAGTAAGGCTGAGTATACAAAAGGAACCAGCAGGCATTCCTGACTGTAGCCTTATTGGAAGACACTGGAGAGTCATGTTGACTTTTGGACAATTTGCTCAGAACTACACTTTAGAAAAATTAATTTCTCAACAAACATGGGAAGCTATTGCAAGAGGTTATGGGGTGAAAAGGAGCCTGAACTGCAATGGTGGAGGTAATGAAAAGGACCTCACAGGACTTCCAACTAATTAAAGGAGGATAAAGATAGGTCAAAGATTATTGCCAGAAATACCATGCAATATTTAAAGACATGAAAATAAAGCCACTGCAGAGCAATAATAGTGGGTTACAAAATATGCTTCATTGATGACATTTTTATATATAAAATGCATGTAAACATGCTGCATGAATATGTACAATAGTTGATGGTTCTCTAGGAGGTGGAATTTCAAGTACTTTTTCTTTCTTTCTTTCTTGGTTGTGAATTTGTCAGATTTTCTATGATGAATGTTTAAGTGTAATATTCAGAACAGATAAATGAAGTTATTCTTCAAAAACTGACAATTATGAGAGGAATTAAGATAGTTGAATAGAGGCAGGCAGCAGGTTTCAACTCCTCTGTGGCTGGATTCCAAGCAGTGAAAGATCAGACAGGTAAGTGACAGAGGGAATGCACTGAGACAAAATGTTGAACTGTTCTTTAACAACTTGGAGGTTCTGGAGCAAGAAATGGGGAAGAATTTGTTAACCCTCACAGGGCAGATTGGGTGAGGGTATAATAAAGAGGGGAGATGTAAAGCTGATAAGCTTTTTTCAGAAATAGTGGTAGAAGAGAAAGACCAAGTTGCACTGGGAAGGGAGTGACAAAGCCGACTGGTAACAGAGGAAAACTCTGCTTCTCTCAATTTGCTGGTGGAAAATTTGCCACCACAAGCCATTTTTTCAGAGACCATGCCTAAATGTGTAGCTCTGGAAAGGATTAAATCTCTATGGCTTAATTTCATCAAGAGGTATAAGCAAATACCATCACAGGGAACACCTTTGAAATATGCCATATGAGTAATATGTATAGTGAGATATCTATGAGCTGAAGGCTGCTGATCTACTCCTCCTACTTTCTCTTTTTTAAATTTATTTATTTGGTTTTAGATATACATGACAGAGTATATTTTAACATATTATATACACATGGAATATAACTTATTCTAATTGAGATTCTTGGGTTGTACATGATTCACTAGTAATGAATTCATTAATGAACATAGATAAATCTGATTCATTCTACTGTCTTTCCTATTCCCATCCCACCTCTCTTCCCTTTATTCCCATTTGTCTAATCCAATGAACTCTTACTCTACCCCCACCCACTTGTCGTGTATTAGCATTCTCCTATCAGAGATAACTTTCAATATTTGGTTTTCTGGGTTTGGGTTATTTTACTTAGCATGATAGTCTCTGAGCCATCCATTTACCAGCAAGTTATTAATTCATTCTTTTTTATGACTGAGTAATATCCCATTGTGTATACATAGCACATTTTCTTTATTTATTCATTTATGAGGTTCTCATGTCCTATATAGCTTAATGGTAATTTTACTCATTTTAATACTTATATTTTTAGTCTTCTAGAGTATTACTCCCCTTTTCAACTTTTGGACTAGTAAAATTCTGGGGACCATTTTTATTTAGTTTTTTTTTTTATGGTCTATTAGTAAATGGTTTGTTCTGAGTGAAGGCAGTTGCTGGTGATTATTATCTATTCTCACTGTAGTGATGGGAATTGATCAGAGCACTGTGATAATGTTGAATGAGTGCTTTGAAATAAAGATACACACCCAGACTGTGCAGCACATGGTAAATAGAAAGTTGTTCACTAAAAAGACTCTTTCATAGCAGTGGAAGAGACATCTGTCCCAGCAGATGCACAAATATCAACAGAGAAATTAGAAAACATGAGAAGTCAATGTAATAAGATGTCACCAAGATTTTGTAACACTCTGAAACTGATTCTATAAACATTAGAGAAAATGCCAGATGAAGAAATCAAAAAGTTGGTTGTTAGAATAATCAAGAAATTAAAAGAAGATCTAAAGAAAGAACTAAGGGAGAAAACACAAGGTATGAAAGATAATTTCATAAAAGAGAGATGTTAAAAAAGAACCAAACAGAAAACTTGGAAATTAAAAACTCAAGTAATTGACTCCCCTAAAACCCAACCAAACCAAACAAACACAAAAACCCAGTCTAGTCTTATAAACAGATCAGATTAATCAGAACAAACAGTGTCAGGGCTCAAAGACAAGGTGCAAGAATTAGAACAGCCATTATATAAAAGAAGGGAAAAAAAAGAAACTATGAACAGAATATACAGGAACTCTGAGATAACAACTCAAAGGCAAAACTTAACACTTACAGGTCTTTTGGAGGAAGAAGAGATATAGACTAATGGCACAGAAAACCTATTCAGTGAAAAAATAGCAGAAAACATCTAAGTCTTAGATATGAGATGGATATGCAGGTTCAAGAGCCATTCAGAACTCCAAACAGGACCATTTTAACTACTCCATGATGTAGTTAAAATGCCAAAAATTCAGAATAAAGAAAAAGAAAATAAAATGCAAGGGAGAAGTACCAATCACTTATAAAGCTATTAATTTTTTAAAAAAAACCTATAAATAATTAGAAGGAATACCAGTAGAACAGAAAAAGAGAAACAGAAGGTGCGAGGATGAGAGAGAAAGAAGAAGTCATAGGTACATAATTGAGCAAATTATATTCCAAGCTTTATGATTATGTCAAAATGAACCCAAAATGTTATGTATAAGAATACTGCATTAATACAAAAAAGAATAACAAAATTCTTCCCAACAAAAACTCTAAAAGCCATAACAACATGGAATGATGTATTTAAGTCCTAAAAAAAAAAATAACAGCAAACCTTGATTACTATATCCAACAAAGCTATCCTTCAGAATCGAGGAACAAATAAAAAACTATAGTCTAAACTAAAAGAATTCATGACCATTAAGCTAGCTTTACAAAGGATCTGTAACAGAATCCTATACACAGAAAAGAAAGATTAAAAGTAACAAAGAAAGCATGGAAAAGAGAAAATCACATTAGAAAAATAAATAAGCTAAATAAGCAAATGATCATTATAAATGTTTCAAACATTAGAAATAAAATAAAGTGGCAGGAAATAATACATAGCTCTTTATAATAACAGTGAATATAAAGTGTCTTAATTCTCTCTTTGAAAGATAGAGCCTAGCAGATGAGATTTTTTTTGAATACTCAATTGTATTTTGTCAGTAAGAAATGCACCTCACAGACAAAGACATTCAGAAATTGAAAGTAAAAGGGTGAACAGTGATATTCTATGCTAATGAAATAAAAAAACAAGCAGGAAGCAACCTTTAAACCAGTATTTCTTCAGAAGAGACAAAGAAGGACATTGCATATGGGTAAAAGGAAAAATATCTAACAAAAGATATGATTATAAATATTTAAAGTGTGAATTACATGACATGAACATTACTTGATAAAAATAGGACTGAATGACTTCAATACAACCACTTTCACTAAGAGCTGCTCTACCAAAAAAATCAACAGACCCATCAGATTTAGACTTGACTATAAATCAATTGGACGTAATTAACATGTATGAAACATTTTATCCACAACAGCTGAATACATTTTCTTTTCAGTTACTCATGAAATTTTCTCCAAAATTGATATTTTACAACAGAAAGAAAATCTTGGCAGATAAAAAGAAAAAGAGTGAAATGACCTCTCTTTTCAGATTATACTACAGTGAAACTAGACATCAACAACAAGAAAATCTGTAGGAACTATAGAAATACCTGGAGATGTATTTACTTCATAAAAATATTTTATTGTCGCATTCTAATTATACATAATAGTGGGATTCATTATGCCATATTCATGAATGCACATAATTTGATCAATCTCATTTCTCACACCTTTTTTTTTCCTTTCCTCCTGTCTCTCCAAATATACAGCATTCACTGTGGGATATTTGTACATGGACACAGCATAATTTGGGAGATTTCACTCTGCATTGCTGCT